GGTGGTGGTGGTGCATGCCTTCAATCGCAGCACTTGGAAGGCAGAGACAGGCGGGTCTCTTTGAGTTTGAGGTCAGCTTGGTCTACAAGAGCTAGTTCCAAGCACAGCCAGTGCTGTTACACACAGAAACCTTGTCTCAAAAACCAAAATAACAATAATAATAAAATGTTCTATTATATGGGAAAACTGGACCTCATGCATACTAAGCAAGCTTTTTACCACCAAGTGACATGAAAGGCAACCAGTTCAAAATTCCCAAATTCCTTTCTCTCCTCTAGATTGCTATCCTCTTATGCAAGTGTCCATTTATTCTCTGGCTGTCTAATAGTTATCTAAACTTTATTTCAGCAGAAAGATGATTGAAATCATCTTTGTAGTTTATCTCTGGGAATCAAAAGATATTATTTTCTATATATGGCTTAATGAAAAATTTAGAAATCACATCTGAGTGCTAAGTTTTCCTAACACTTTTCATTCAACTTTTATCCAAACCCTTGTGTTTTCTGTTAATAGCAGTAAAACATTTCCAGAAGTCTCCCTGCCTCTATTTTCCAGCTAATTTTCTACACAGAAGCTGTACAGCCATCTAGAGTACAAATCTCATTACATGCTTCGCTCCATGACAATGAGACTCAATTCTTTACCATCAAGGCTGCACATCCTGGCTTCAGCCTTCCTCTTTAGACTCCTTGCCCTCCTCCATTTTCCTATTTTGCTATAGTCTCTTATACTGTTGTTTTCACACTTGGTACCCCTTTCTGGGATTTCACATGCCTGTCACTGGTCATCTCAGCTGGAAGAAAGCCATAAGGAAGAGCTCATACTGTTTTAAACCATTCTCTTGCCAGACAGCACTGACTTTCGCTGTTGCAAACCTATTTAACTCTAGCATTGGCAAGGCAAGTCTGGTTTGCAAAGTGATGTCTACATGAATGGGGCTACAAAGTGAAACTCTGTCTCCAAAACAAAATAAGAAACCAAAACCCGAAACCCACAAATCAAAATCCAACCCAATTCCAACACCTTACTCATCACTTTCCCTGTGTAACTTCTATTGTATTTTTGGCAAAACACCTACAATTATTTGGAATGACTTTATTTATGTACCTATTTGTATACTCTATCCATTGTATTTCATGGTCTTCAGTTTGTAGTCTCTGGCAGTGTGCCTCTCCTCTATACACGGCTCTTGCAAGGCTAACTGGACACTTTAATTCTCTGGGAAGGTGGAATAGCTGTGTTAGAAAGGCTTGATGAATCCTTTCTATAGTGCTAATTTGTACTTACAGGTTACTCCATAAATGCTAGTTATCATAATTACTAAGACAGATTTTGATATAGAAAACTAGTAATTCAGTATCCATTAATAAATGCTTTCTACCCCTGAAGTGAGCATGGAAACACATTTTCTCTTGTATTGCCTATAAAAACATGAAGATTTTAAAGCCAGGGCAGAGGATATTAGTGATTTTCAATATGATCTGGCCTTTCAAATAAAAGCATATTTAAAAGCAAGAACAGGAATTCACAGTAGTGGTGTAATCACAGTATTGTCTCCTTTGTTTTTCTCATATTCCCAGCTTTCTTTTACTACTTATGTTGTTATTGGGAGTGTATAATAGACAAACATAATATTTTGGACAATGTAGATTTTTTTAAGTTAGGTCTTATATCTCTGGTAATCCAGCTTTTATACTCAATTATTTGAACATTTTAATAGTGAAATAAATTTACAAACACATTATAGGATCCATTTTTCACTGTTTTCTATTAGCAAAACTCAATATTTCCTTTTCTTTGTCTTCCCATCTCAGTTATCAATGAAAAATAGCAAAACACACACACACACATACACAAGCACTAAACTTGTGAACACAAGAAAATTATTTTGTTCATTTTGTATTTTTCACCAGTCTTAATATCACTTTCTTTGGCAACCCAGTGCCTTCAAGACCTGTAATTTATTTATTCATTCTAGGCCCCTGATTTTGTAGATGCTATTTATCTTCAACTAATATGCTGTCTTGTTCACATCCATGATTACCTCTGAAATAATAATCATGCCCTTATTCTTTCCTCTTATCAAACAACCTCACCTTCTACTTCAGTGAGAAAATGAAGACCGTTTGGCAGAGCCAACTGCTCCCCTTCACTAAGAACAGAGAGGAGCCTGGTATGAGCATCGTTACTGTGACATAGCTTGTTGATCTCAGCCCTTCTAGATTCACATCCATGGATTGACTCCTGTTTTGAATACTATCCATGTCACCACTTTATAACTCACCAGTGTTTTCTCTCTTTTGTTTCAGAAGTAAATCTTATTCAAAGGCCACTGTGAGAACCTTCTAGAACTTTAAGTTTGAGCAAGCAAGAACTCTGGTCTGTGTTGTTTCGGGACCTTTCATGTCTCCCTGAACCATCACTCCTACATGTAACCATGCCTGGCAGTAGGGTCTTTGTTTAATAATCCACTGCTTCTAGGAGCACGACTAAGGAGCCAAGCACATTAACTCCCTTCAGTCTCTCTTTTGAAGTTTTCAATTGGGTTAAATTCCAGTAATTTTTAATGTCTTTTTCATATATACTTTGGTTTGCTTCACTGGTATTCCCATCTCTCCCCATCGCTCCACATTGCACCTGCTTAAACATTTCTGCCTCCACTGTTGCCATCTCTATTTTTCTTTTGTGAATGTTTTCCTACTTCTGTGCCTTTAAAGCATTCCCCACACTCAGTGCCCCCTTCCTAGCATCCACAGGTAAACTGCTTGTTTACCAGAATGAAATAGTAGAAACTAGGACCCAGATGAAAGCGATCATATGACATTTGCTCGGCTGAATCTGAACCACCCCACTGAAAATAACTTTTCCTGTTCTATCCATTTTGCTTAAAATTTTACAATTTCATTTTTCTTTATAGCTGAGCTGAGTAAAATTACATTTCGTATATACATCACTTTTTTATTATTCATTCATCAGTTGATCGACATTTAGGCTGTTTCCAATTCCATACTATTGTGAATTGAGAAGGAATTAACATGGATGTGCAGGTGTCTCTGTAGTACTGCCCTTTGGATACATGACCAGGAATGGAGTAAATATATACTAGATGAATGTTTAATTTATAAACAAAAAAGAATATGAAAATTATATTAAATATTACGATGCCTTTTTGACTATAAAATGCCTTGGGAAAAGGTACCAACTCAAAGAATAGGTAGTGAAAAGTGATAGTGGTCTCAGTAATAACATCTCATTAATGTTTTATTTGCTATTATGGTTATTTGTATTTATTGTTCTTTAAAAAGATAATACGTTGGGATGCCCCGAGCGGCCTGCGAGCCAGGCAGAGGCTGCCAGAGCAGTGCAGGTTCCCCGGGAAAGCAGCAGAGTCAGGCGGCTGGATGCAGTGGATGGAAGAGTAAATGGACATAAAACTATATATAAAGCTAAATATTTATTACTTAAAGAAGAGGGAGACATTTATTACTTAAAAAGAGGGAGACAGAGAGACATGGAGACAGACATAGAGAGAGAGACAGAGACATGTGTACACACACCAAGAGACAAAAACGACAGAGAAGGGAAGATGGCGATGAGGGAGGTCAGAAGTGGCTGGGAGTGGGCGTGGTTAGCTCTTAAAGTGACCAGACCCAAAGGAATAACAGTATTCTCTGTTACTCAAAATGTTTTTAATTTGTAACAAGATAGAGGTACTTTGTGTAAGCAGTCTATACCTTGTCAGTTTAACTGTATTCTGTCAGTGTTGAGAGTATTCGAAATATTTCTGTCTCCAGCCTCTTTCCACAGCCAATTCCTAGAATCCTAGCCTTTTCCTCAACCAATGTTTCCTCTTCATTCTCCATCATGTAATCATTCAACAACAGAAACATGGGCTAATGACTATATGCTTCCATTCTTATACATTCGTATACAGCTGCCAGCCTATATAAGGTAGTATACATATTCCTACGGCTTTGTGAACTCCTTAAAGCTGTGGGTTCTGCCTCTAGAACTAGGGTAGACAAACACTTAGATATTTTCTACAGTGGTAAGTGCCTCGCATGCCAGAATCATATTTAATCTTTCAGAGGAAGCTCTATAAGGCAGGTTAATGAAGCAGAAAGCCAGAGAGGTTCAAGAAATAAGTTAATCGGCTAATAATTAAATTAGGAATACATAAATAAATGGGAGAGCTAGGCTAAGTTCAGGTTGATTTTGAGAACAACATCATGTTTGCTTCACTTCCTCAACTTTGTACCCCAAGAGTAAAACTTTAAAACTCTTATAAATGAGAAAAGAATTACATTAATAGTGCAGGCAACAAAAAACTCAATCAATTTAATCTTATGAATATGAAGCCAATGAGCCCTCATATTATACAGCATGTACTGGCAACTCTATATCCAGATAAAACATATGTATTAAATTGCAACTTTATCTATTTCAATCTCAGTTTCTAAAGGGATTTAAGGTAGTGTATAACACACACCTGGGTTAACTGTGAAATAAGATCAAGCACAACACAAATAAATCAATAAACCTGATTAAGAAAAATCAAGTACCTGGCCTGTCAGTTTGGGGGTATCTGCTTGTTTTAGGAATGGATTTCCTCTCACTGTTTCTGTTAGGAACCCAAAGCTGCCTGGCTTGTTGCTGCTGAGACAGCAGTGCATGAGAGAGTAGACAATGATGCGGGGGAATTGTCTGTATTCTGTCAATCATATTTTAATAAAACGCTGATTGGCCAGGCAGGCAGTATAGGTGGGAAAACCAGACAGGAAGTAGAGGTGATGCAATGAAAACAGGAGTATCCTGGAAAGCAGGAAGCCATTCCTTCATTCCTGTACAGACCACCGAAGAGGCAACATGTAAGCTGTCACACTGAGAAAGGTACTGAGCCCGTGTGGCTAACATAGATCAGAATAATGGGGTAAGATAAGTCATAAGAACTAATAAGTAGCCTGACCTAACGAGCCAATCAGTTTATAACCTTATGGAGTCCTGTGTGTGATTTTCTTTGGGCTTGCCAGTTGTGGGGTACTGGACGGGACAGAAACCCCAACAAGCCGGCCCCCTCATGTTACAAGACAAGGCACCCTTGACTCACCTGTTCTATTGCAACCCCATAAAGGAACATTAGTGGAGATCAGATTTTGATGGACAATGCTATTGTTTTGAAATAGCTCTATTAAAGAAATAGAAATGTAAGTAAATGGCTACCTTAGTGCTGACTTACTGTAGTAAGTGATCTTCTAAACAACGATTCTTTCTTATTTGGGCAATTTTCTTTTCCTTTTCTTTTCTTAATTTTTTTTTACTGTAAAAGAGTAGAATATAATGTTCTTAACTTGTTACTTTAGACATTTACTTAACAAATATTAATTGATCAATTAGAAGATGCTGAGCAGTGAAAAACAGAGAAGGTAGAAAGTCCTGCACATGGAGTTTGGGTATTGTTTAGGAAATGCATATGTCAATAGATATTTAAAACTGTGTAGTCAGATCTCTGAAAGCAAGGTGTTACTTCATTTACCAGGAGGCCTTGGGCTCACAAAGGAAAGGATAACACACGGAACAATAGATGGTGTGAAATCAGGGCTCACCTGCAGGGAACACATAGAGAGCCAGTTCAGTTCCGGCCTGTCTGCAACATATTGGCAGAGAGGCAATTGGAGTTACACGGCATTAATTAAGACACACTAAAGAGGTCTTAATCCTGAAATCAGTGTGGAATAATTGGAGGAATTCAACATCCTCATAATTGAGTTTTAGAAATGTTTCTCCAGCATAGACAGTGTAGAAAAACATGCTGGAATTGGGAGAGTCAGAAAACAGCAATGGAACTTACAAGAAAGAACAATGTAAGTTCTGAACAAAAATAACTACGGTAGGCATGGAGAATTATGAGAATGGATTAAACTATAGCAAACTAATTGTAATTTTCTTTTTATTATCACAATTCCAAAGAAAATTTTATCTTTTAGCTGTAATGCCCTTTTCCTAAAATGGCTCTTGTCATTTATATCACCATGATCAAAACTTATCCAACATCATCAAGCAGAAAAACAATTCTTGTTTGCTCTGGTTATTAATCTCATCCCATTTGCTCTTGCCAAATTCATCAGTTATGCTTCTGACAGAAAATATAGAAATTAAAAAAAAATTCGATATGTATCTTTACTGAATTCTACAAGGCACCAGAGATGCAATGCTACAAAAGTATAAGCATTACTAACTCCCTAATATTGTCTGAGAGATTCAAACTGGATTTGACATTTATGCCTAAAAATAATAAATAAAAATAGAAGCATAAGGTGTTAAGGACAATAATGACCTTGTGAACAAAGTTCTAGGTACTGCATGCAATTATTGCAACTTTTAATGTAATTTCAGAAATCAAGGAGACAACTACACAACATGGATGAATGCTGACAAGCATTGGGGGGGATATGTTGGGTGAGTCCCCGTACTGATTTTTTTTTTTTTTACTTTGGGTTTTAGTTAATGTTTTCTTTTAAGAAATATAAAATCTTCCTAAAGTATTTAGCAGTATTTTATGGTAAATTTCTTTAGCAGAATATTAGATATGTTTTAATTTTTTTAAATCATATGGTTAACTCATTGAATCCCTGGATTTATAGGCCTGTAGAATTCATAACATAGGCTTGCATTATATTATTTTAGTGTTCTAAAAACAGTCTCAAACATCTGTAGAAAGCTGTTTACATTAAGAATTCAACTAAACTCAGTTTAAGATAAAAAAAAACAACAGTACATTAATGCCTTCCTTCTGAGTAGGTTAGTTATAGGGAAGGGAAACCTTTTGTGTATCAGATAACCATTAACTTATTAGGAGACACCATTTTATTTTGTCTAACTGTTTATGTTACAAATTATTTCCAGTTATGTGATGTGAGCTATGATATAAATATGCTATTTCTTAGCCTCAAAAGAATATATTGCTCAAATAAAGTAACTGGGCCTTTTGTTCTTTTGAAAAGAATATGATGATGGGATGTCCCGGGTGGCTCACAGAGTCTGGCAAGGATGGCCGTGAGTCCCTGCCACGCCATGCGGCTGGGGGAGTCAGGCGGGTGGTTACGACGGATAAAAGGCTCACAAGACATAGTAAATAAACATAAGGGTAAACATTTATTACTTAAAAAGAAATAGAAAAGCAGAGAGATAGAGATAGACATAATATAAAGACATAAAGACACAGAGACAGAGAGAAACGTGTGCACACGACAAGAGACAACCACACAAGAGAGAGAGAAAGATGGCGAAGGGGGAGGTCAAGGTGGCTGGGTGGGCGTGGTTAGTTCTTAAAGTGTCCCAATGGAATAACATTGGGCCTAGAACTGTCCTTATGAATCATTATAAGGGTATTATTTATTGCTATTGTTCATGTCAACAAGGCTTCTGATTGCTGGAAGCAAAGACCTGTATTTTGAGATCTGCATTTTGTTTACAGCCATCTTAAGCTCACAAGTTATGAAAAAAAATTTACCTCTCCCCTCTGCAGGGTCTAGGAAATCAACCTTGCTTCTTATCTCCTAGCAGAGACCTGCAGGAACCAGGCTCCGGAACTCATTAGCATTTTCCTTTGTTTGTCAGCAATCACAGACCCTCAGTATTTACCTATCAGCTGGAAATGTCTCCGGACCTGAATTCCAGCAGACCTGAGTTTCCTGACACCCTTCTCTTACCCCTGACACCTTTCCCTTCCTCCCCCCACCCCTTTGCCCATTTGCTATATAACAGCTTCTGAGGAAATAATAAACTATACGGCTTGATCAGAAATCCTGTCTTGCCATCATTTCTCATGTCTCTTGTCTCCTTTCATTCCTCTCCACTAGGTTTATTAGGGACCCCCATTCATATCCCGCTGGCCAGGATATCTGATAAAACTCAAAATGAAAGTTGGCTTAACGGGGATTGAGAGACAGCTGTTAGTAGGAAGGAATTTTTCTTCTTTATCAGAACACAGTTATAAAGTAAATTAAAACTTAGGAAATGTAGCTCAGCAGTGGTTAATGTAAATGACCTTTTCAAACAGACTCTACTAGTTGCAAATTTCAATGCACAGCTTAAGACAGAAAGAAATGATGAGATCTGTGCTTCCCGAAGCCTGGAAAATCCAACAACCTGCAGCTCTCCATTTCCCAAATTTATAAGCAAAACAGTATCAAGACAATGCTCAAGTTATGTGGAAAAGACGATCCAGTCAAACTGACAAATTATTTGGAGTAAACTTTTGCTTAAAATTCAGAAAGCATTTTTCGTGGTAATAATCTTTCATATGGGGATTTGGCCACAGTAAGTTTACAGTATCATTAACACATGGTATGTTTGCAATATGTAAGTGCAGTATGGTGCTGGAGAAATACAATGCAGGTGCCCTGCAGACGTTTTACCCTGGGATTCTTCTGACGGAAGATGAAGTTCAGTCCACACCTCCTGTATGATGTCTCCTACTTTCTCTCCCTTACTAAGGTTTTTGGCTTTGTCACTCTTCTTTGGTCACACTAACTCTCTTTCAGATTCTAGAATATATCAAGGCTCTGTGTCACCATCACACATTTTCACTACATTTTTTCTCAGAATGCAATTAGCTCTGATTTTAGCAGAATTATCTTTTTTTTTTATTTTGGTCTTTCAAGCATTCAGAAAATATCACTGTGACTACCTGCTGAAACTCACATATTAGACCTACTCTGATGACCAACATAAGAGACTATTATCTATCTATCTATCTATCTATCTATCTATCTATCTATCTATCTATCTATCTAT